AAAAAAAAAAAAAAAAAAAAAAAAAAAAAAAAAAAAAACCAAACGGGCTCTTATAGGCACAGTTCCAAGAAGAGGTAAATGACAGCTGCTTACTAGTTTACAGATATTTGAAGAGTATTAAAAATGTTTTTGTTGGCTCATACCTCTCTCTCTTGAGATTTTTAATTCGTTGTGTATATTTAAAAAATTCTCCTTGCAGGAAAACCCTGGAAAGAGTATAATCAAACCATGCTGAGAAATCATTCCATTTTCCTGGAGAAGCTAAAGAAAAAATGAGTTTAATGTGTTTAGAGTGAAGTCTAAATAAGCACACAATACAAAAGACACAGGAAGAATTATTACAGACCCCTTGAGAAATTTTTTTCAATAACTGGAAATATCCTTTGACAATAGACCAGCAACTAAAGAACTGTTCCTGGAAAAACTGTATCATTCTGGCAAACAGTAAAGTGATCCGATTAGTCTAATCTTGGTATCTCTGCCAGAAATGTCATGACATCAGTGTGCTATAACTTGTAAAACATGTTTCTTCCCACTATTCTTCAGTCAGAAGCTGGGGAGGGGTCCTCCTCAATGTAAGGCCCCAGTCCAAATGCTTTTGAATGCAAGTAACAGCTACTCACTTGAGTAAATGTTTCCAGGAGCAAAGCTTAAAAATTCATGGCTCACAGAAAGTATACGCTAATGAACTACAGTTAACCTCAAATTTACCTCTGTTTAGAATATCTGTAAACAGACAACAGTGTTGGCTAAGCTTAAGTTGAAAACTGTTGAACTGGCCTTCTTTGAAAGTTATAGATTCAAGATATAAAAAACAGCCATGTAGTCATTATATGCCTTGCTCATAAACAAGAATCCTTAACCTTAGGCAATATTTGACTATAGAACATTTATGAAGCAGTTGTTTTATGAGAAATAAAGGAGTGATGACATTGAAACAAAAAATTCTCTAAGGGCATGTTAGCTGAGACAGTGATGGTGTACCTGGCCCAAAAGTACAGACAAGTTCTGTAAAAAAGTCTGGTGATCAAAAAAAAAAAAAGAGATACTGTTCATTGTTTTCCACTTTTTGTTTTTTTCACCTTAACTCCATTGTCATAAGGCTCGTATTGCTTGGATACTGAATCTAATATTCTGACTTTCTTGGAGATTGAATCTTGATCTGTTTTTCATTAAGGATTTTGCATAACATATTGGTGATTATTTTTACATGTAGTTCTGTACAACAGCAGAATAGTTTTGGTCTTTGCATCTTGGTCCAGGCCATCACAAATCGTCACTACAACCACTAGCCAAAGACATAAGAATAAATTGCATACAATTTTATCCTGTGGAAATTTAGATGTTAATCAACACTGCAATTTTTCAATGGAAAAATAATGACAGAGCAAAAATCATCTGATTGTCATATGCTAATCAAATAAGCAATGCCAAATTCACTAAATATCTTACTACAACCATAGGGGGAGACAGACCAAACATTTAAATTAGAAGTCAGATCATCAATGTGCCAAGTCATTCCTCAGATTTTCTCCTTACATAGATTATGAAACACAAAAGTATAAGAAAAGCAAGCAAAACCTGTTTGCTTTGAAATATTAAAAAACTTTCTTCTTTGCTAGTGGAAAGCATTTATTCTAAATAAATTCTCATTAAAATGTAATAATTAAGTAGCCAACAAAGAACTTTCCCAGCACAGAGGCTGCTCTCTCTCAAATAAAGAGCTCTGTGTTTTAGGGCACTAAAATGAAAAGTAAACTATTTGAGAGGGAAGGCAATGAAGTTCTTCTAGACATGCATGGAAATTCTAGCACAAAAATCCATACATAGTTCACAGTGCTGTATTATTATTTTTAATTATGTTGGTATTTTTTAGCCATTTTGTCTCTTTCTAAACATCAGAATCATTGTCTTGTATACGTAGGCTTCATTTTGCTTAAAAAAGTCCTAAATTGAAACAGATTTTTTTAAACAATTACCTTTTTCAGAGTTATCATAGTACAGGATATTAGGAAAAAGCCAGACTCCCCTGTTGCTTTTACCCACATCTGACTCCAATCTTAATAGTTCAGCTATTAACCCTGTAAGGAGTTGTTGTTTTTTTTCCCCCAGCTGATGTTAAATGTTTTAGGTGGCTGACCTGGGCTAACTCATTACAACACCCTGTATTATACAGGGCTAACAGCAGCTCCATAGTTTATCATGTTCTAGAATCCAGAAATCTGTTTTGCTCATCTTGACTTGTGCTGTTAGAACAAATAAACTATCAGTATATTAAATGGGCTTTTTAACGTCCTCTACGAAGACCGAAATCAATACTGCCATTTGGTCCAAAATTTTACCTATAGCATGTATAGTAGTTTCTGTCATACCTCCACAGCAATGCTGACCTCATTAGAAAAACAAAACTAAGAGAAAATGAGTTTTACAGAGAAAACCAAATAGAATTTCTGACTTTGGCAAAACAGAACCCGGTTATTTAATCCGAGGTCAAAGTTTTCAGCTCAAGACAAAGCCTGGAATCATTAAGCTGGCAAGTCCCGTTGACCATTTTTTTTGACACCTTTTAGTTTTCACTTGCAGGGAATATTCATCGCTAACCTTTAAATCCTCTGTATAAACATTTCTTGGAGAGCTTGTAAAACATCCCCCCACTGCGTTTCCTGACTCTCCGGTTGATGGCATTTTGAAACACTGGTCTGAGGAGAGGGCTCTGTTTTGCTTTCTTCAGCCCCCCAGCTTGGAGGCAACGACAGATTCCCAGCCCAGGCCAGAGGCAGCCGCCCTCGGCGGAGACCACATTGAAGGCAAGCTGAACCCAACCCCACCAGACAGCCAGAGGGAGACCATTCCTGTTTAAGTTTAAAAGACCCCGGTTGGGAACAAGTATTGTTGGAGAGAGAAAGAGCCTGAGAAACATTCCTCATCTTTCTGAGCTCTCTTAACCCGGGGGCAACATCTTAGTTATCGTGAGCTGAGGTGGAGAGGAGGGCAGGCACCTTTCCCGGGGGGAGTCTGAAAGCAGCCCCTTGCCGGGGGTGGCCGGGCAACTGCAGGGGGCTGCAGCCTAGATCCCGCAGAAAGCCAAAGGCTCCCCGGGGAGAGCAGCAGTTGTCACCCAAGTGACAGGCAGCAGCTGAGCGGGCACATGCGGAGCCCCCGCGGACAGAGGCGACGCAGCTCCCCACGGGCTGGAAGAGGAGAGCGCCGGCCGGCTGCGGGAGAGGCTGAGGCAGCGCCGCCCATGCCCTGCCTGCCCCGAGGCGCTGCCCCCACCCGGCACCCCCTCCCCCGAGCCGGCCTCTTGCAGCACAGCGCAGCGCCCCCCGCCGCAGTCCTGGCACTTACCGCGGGACCAGGCTGGCCGGGGGCAGCGGCGTGGGAGTCAGTGCGG